AAAGACTGAAACATTAATACGTGCTTCACAGTTCACCATGACTACCGAATGGATATTCCACAAAATGCTAATTTTTTGATTTTGATTAAAACGGGATGTGACAAGGAACAAATTGGTACCAATGCTTGCTAGACTTCATTGCAAAAGCAAACCCCTGTATCTCCTTTGTAGAGCGATCAACAATACCTGTGATTCGAGTGGTATCCTCTCTTGACACAAAGGACAAAATCGAAACGTCTCAAACAAAACAATTGGATTACGACTTCGTGGATTCGCATTTCACTGACCTAACTTACGGCTACTGCCCGACGATAGCAGCTGATATAGAATTAGCATCGATGAATGATACACCTCTTAATTCGGATTCTGATTTTGAAAGTTATTTATACTCGCTCGAACCAATGGAAATGTTGCCAGAACTCGATAGAGATACGCTTTCTGATGCTCTCATTAAATTAGAGAAGTTTACTACTCTGCAGTCTGCTACCGAAGTCGAGGCGATGGAATGTGACAGGCCTGACATGGAAGAAGACAATCTTTCGCCTTTGGGCAGCCCTCAACTTCATAACATTTTCTCGTCAAAATCCCTTGAAGATCTTGCCAATGGACCTGAGTGGGAAGAGATTTTCTCACAACAGAACACTCTGATTGAGCAGCTTGTGGAAATTGTCGATGTAAGTCTTGTCGTTCATAGGAATGCACTGAACTTTGCCGTCAGAGTGCCATAGGCAAATAAAGTCATGTTTTTTGCCCATTTAGATGATGCATAAGATTTGGATGAGCTTTGAAAATTAGTAATTCAAGTGATAGTTGAACGGAAAACAAACAAATTAATGACATCCTACCTCACTTTAATAAGTAGTTTTACAAAGAAGTGGACCGTGTTGAAAGGTTGGTGACTGTGACAACTTTTCCCTTAGAATAAATCGGGACGGCATGATTATGAAAAGGAAAAGGCGAGAAACTCAAAAGCCTCAACCGCCGATATCGTATCGCTAACCAAAGATTGTGAACTCCAGTCCTCCACGACTCAGTGCAACTTCGCCGAGGACAGGGAGAAGGATCGACGGCAACGCAATAACGTAGCATCTCGAAAGTCGAGGGCCATGAAGAAGGAGCGCTTTGCTGCCATGCAAAGCGAGATCGACCAGCTTCGTGTTGCTAATCGCAAATTAAAGGAGTTCGTGGACGAATTGGACTCGGCCATTGATGAGGCCAAGGCTATTGTCCTTCCATCAAATAGCCCATCTAGGTAGCAGATGCAGAAGTTGAATCAAGTCCATCCATCTGTACATACTCATCCACACACTGTGTCTTATTTTTTTTATATAACTTTTGATCACAGCATTTTTTGCCGGTTCGGGATGAGCAATGTGCGCATCTTGTAGTGACACTCTTAACTGTAAGATTAGCACTTGTTTTCCGAGTTTTACAAGGCACAGACAAAACATTTGTAATCCATGTCTGCCGTTGGCATGCAAACAATGTTGCGTCCCGAGGATTTTTCTTGTACAGGATGCATTCATTCTCGGTACCCACTTCAGTGCGACCACAGGCTAACCTCTGTCGCCATAATGTCCACACGCTGCGCATTGTGCTTGTGCCTTTACTAGCCTTTGAAAAAATATATCTTGCGGTATGATGAGGCAAAGTTTAAGCGGTCACAACTCGATCACTAATCATCAAGCAGAAATAGAAAATCCTCATAATGTATCGAAATGATGGTAGCAAATTTTCTTCTAAGATCATTGCAAAAGCCAGCGACTGAAAGTGGAGCAATGAGTCTTACGCATTCGTTACAATTGTTAATGTCAAACGTTTCAACACCATGGGGATCGGCTCAGATACTGGTGAGAGGGTCGACTCAGAAGTTTGAAGCTAGAATTCCCTCCTGTACAAGTCAAGCCTAACATTGAACTTCTGGTTGATACATTAGTTTGAAAGATTCGCAGTGCCACGGTTTTTACTCACTCATCGTGCTTCGATCTCAAGTTTGACTGCTGTCTAAATTGGTGGAATCAGTCGTCACTTCACGGCACAAATAACTGCGACTTTCACCACTTCAGTAGCGCAATTTACTAAGTACTGGAAAAGTTCCACAACCAGCGTAAGTGAACGTCAAAAATATAACCATTTAGCTGTGGAGGGCAATACAAAATGCTTTATTTTTTTTATCTCCTTACTAAATGAGTGTTCGCGCATCTTTTAAGGAAACCAAAATTACTTTCAAATTCTTTATTATTAACAGAGTTTCGGAGGCTCATGGTGACAAACTCCGAAAATTATCTGGGAAACCAAGAAACAATCGTTGGCCTTTCCTACTACTATCACGGATGAAGTTCTCGTGTTAGCAAACACTTCGTATGAAAATAAGTAGTGAGGCGTTTACCTCATTATTAAGCTTTAACAATTTTCTTTATCCTAATTACAAAGGATAAAAAAGGGAAGTAGTTTTGGCTGGGAAAAGCTTAATGCAAAAGGGAGGCCATACGTGTGGTAGTTACGGCACACAAAACAATGTTGAACTCAAAAGTCCAAATGTCAGGGTGGACCAAATGATGTAGTCGGGACCTGTAACTTAAGTTCAAACACCAAAATTTGGGCAAACGTACAGGAAATCTGCATCGGCACTAAAACGTTCAATCCAAATCATGTTTGGAGCCCCATTGATGGCTCGTTCTACCTCGGTGTGTTTGTCTCGGCTCTTGAGCCAAAAGTGAACAACAAATCGCTCTCGTTCACTTCCATTTGGTGACAGTTTGAATTCCGGCGCACCTTTGCATTATTCAATCTTTTGTTTAAATTGGTACTAACGAAGGCCGTAAAGAGGAGAGCTTGTGCTTGCACCTACGTTCTATCGTAAAATCAACACATAACGTGATGATAGTGCCTTTCTTAAATGGCTTTTTCATACGAATTTAATGAAACCACACTGGTATGTCGGTGAATTTTCGAGTGAAGCTTCGATTTTAGTTGTTCTCGAAATTTTTGCATCTCATAGAATAATGCCTGCCTCTGCTTCATTTGTACAAACATGCAATTGTTTTGTTGATTTTGCAGCATTATAACACGTATTTTCTGAAACAATCCCCACCTTAATCAGAAATCCGACATTTCACTTTGTAAAAGCTGATAAACTAGAATCCGGATAAGGTAGTGACAGACATCACCTGCACGACTACACACTCACCACTGATCAGCGTAGAAGGTGAGTGATTTTGTGAATGCGGCCTCACCTTATAAGTGAACATAAAAGTAAATATCGAACTGCAAATTGAAGCATATTTGAGCAAAGCATTGAAACTGCAAGAAAATATCTTAATCATGGTAAGAGGAGGTCCTGATGTGGCACAGTGGCTTGAGTCTTGTTTGACCCCATATTTAGCAGGTTTGACCATTCCAGCTCCACAAATTGATATCTCCGGCTTCTGTACGTTTGTTGATGAACTTCCAAAAGCATCGCAAAACATTCACAGCACCACATCTCTCTCCGTAGATTTGCAATTGCTCATGGAACCTGTGGCTTGACGGGCACTGTTGAAATAAAGACAAATGGAGATCATGACATGAACAAATAACGCAGAAACCTATTCCATCTGCCTCAGTATTCTCACAGAAGGAAAGCTCTTTCAGCCAGTACAAGTAATGGAAAGTTTCGATTGTGGGATATATTAAAGGGAGCAATTCCCCACAACACATCGAAAGGAGATCCAATGAGCATAAAATTGCATGCATTGTGACATGAACTTGCGTTTTGCTTTACATTGCAAAGAAGGGTCCTTGAAAAGCAACTCCCACTGGTCATCAAATTTGCACTGACATACACACATTTATGGAACATTTTAAAGCCTTTAATATAAAATCAACAACTATACGACCGTTGAATGCGTTTGATTTAACAACTTCCACCTTTACTTGGTCACAACTTTCCCTTGAAGGTTTGGCTTTGATCTCCCGCAGTGAGAAAAAGGCACGCCCTTTCTTGCCAGCAGTTTCGACAAGGTGAATTGTGTGGAGACCATTTCTCATAGAATAGTGACAAGCATAAGTTGCTTACGATTAAAATTATGGTGCTACCAATTTCTTTAATGAACTGTGAAAAGTGCTGTTGATAAGAGATGACAATGTTGTGGAACAACCAAGAAGGCGAGGATATGGTCCAATTGCAAATGCGGCTGTATTTAAGTAGGCGAGAAGTGGAGAGGACCTTTAGCTCCGAGTTAGCACTTTTCCTCTTTACTTGTAAACACAGTGCGCACGTGGGCTATAAAAAGGCAGTGAATGAGAGGAGGAGAGGCACATCTCCTGTGCACAGTATACCTGGCGGATAATGCATCGGCGTGCCAGCACAGACTACAGTCATTCTCCCTACGACTCTATTAATTACCCTTCCAACTCATCGGTCGGTAAGTTCCCCCACCTCTCGTTCTGATAAAATGTGCTGCTAAATTGGTGTGGCGTTGTTTTCACCAGACTACATGCTACTTATAGCAAGTGTTTCTTAAAACATTCATATCAAATTCATTGCTACTGTTTCTGTCTTTAAAATCCTAGCTGCAGAAATAAGTCAAATTGCCCATTAATCTTGCGCATGGTATTTGACTGGCGGATGGTTTATATTTTACAAATTCCAGTACAATCGTATCCGCTCACATAGATACCAAACAACTTATGATAAATGATTGAATTTTATCGTTCCGTATAAAGACTTCCACCATTTGAATGCAATTTGGGCCGTTAAGACTTCCATGCATAGGGGAAATGGAAGTACCGAAACCACACAAAACAGCTGCTACAAAAACGAAGCAGCGAGATTTAATGAATCTGCCTTACCTGGATAGCTTTGAAATATTCTGTTGATGAGAGTTAACCTGTTTTGCTGTGGGTCGTAATGACCATCTCAATTTTTGCACGCAGGTGCGCCAAAGTGTAGGGTTGAAATAGATGCCACGGTCACATGACAAAGCACTGCAGAGACAAAGTGGATAGAGCTGCCCACACACACCAGGCAACCAAACAACAGTAGAAACCTTTTACCGCTTTATCTTATTCGTTGAAATAAGCAACACTATAAGCTACAAAGCTTTGATCCTTCTTAATGAGAAAACAGAGCTGCTTAAACACATTGTACGACGCTTTACACCCCCTAATGCCCACTGGGCATGTGATTGTGCAATGCCCAGTAAGAGTAAGAATTAGTGCCGAAAGAAAGTGTATAGGAAAGATAAGACGCATTGTTTCCACTGGTTGGCTAATCACGACCTTTCCCATTATGAAGTTTTCTTGCACATTTTTACGTTTAATGTTGCCTCAATCGTAGTTTTTTCCATTGAGCACTAAACCTATGGTAAACAATTTGGTCTGCAATGTACGGCACATAACACAAGCACAGCCTGATCTAGTGTGGAGTACTAAGTGAGTGTTTGGGGATTGTTACTGATAATGTTGGCTCACAGTACGAAAGCTTTGCCTCATCAAAAGTCAGTTAGCAGATCGCCTAAAATGGTGCGTTTTGCAAGGTGAAAGAGGTGAAGACCACCTGATTGGTGGTTTTTAACACTAGCGCGTGACGAATGGAACTCATTTGGTCAAATTCTGTTGCGACTTTTACGTTTGATGTTGCCACTTGATTTGAGAGTGACCGATAGTTTCAAAGGCTTGATAATGAAATATCGTGTCAACTGCACGACAATTCTTTACGAAGAAAAATAGTGAGACTTTTCAGAAGTGATTTTTTACTCTTGGAGAACCTAACACTGAAGACAACACTGCCTCATCATGTCTACCACCGCACGTTGTGCACTCTCGGAATGCTGGTCGTCATGAGAAGCTTGTGTGGCTTCGAAGCCAACTTAACCTTGGCTCACAAGGTATGTGGGCTCAGGTCACATCTCTCCGGCTCAGTTGATGTTTATCGAGGTTTCAAAGGAGGAGACATAAATTTAGAGATCACCAGTTAACACGCCCATATGATCCATGATTCTGAATAAACTGAGTATGCTCCTTAGCCTTTAAAGGTTTCAACAAGCGATAATGCGTTATGATTCCGTAGAAGGCCTTTTTTTGCAAGTACGCTTTACTTAAGCATAATTTAAGCTCATTAAATTAATTTAAGATCAGAAACCATTTTTGGCAATCCACAACAAGCGATATTAGCACGGGCCATTCGCATGAGGTTCCCTAGCAATAATGTGGCCACACTTTTGCACACAGAGGCATGCTCATCGGAGTTGGACATTGTTTATCACGCCACTGA